TATATATATATATATTCCTGCTGATATTCCAAGAACATTTTCTATTACAAATACAAATATTCTTTTTAATAATACAATGAAACAGAGACACTAAAACCTAACACTGCCTTTTTGTGATACTAGTTTTATCTTGATAATTTTATAATTTGTACACCAAGTTAGATATTAAAATGTTGACTCATAACTTTATTTACAACAATAATATATTATCAATTATCAATTACCTCATGTAATGCAGGACAAAATACATGTCAATACAGACAAAATATATGTCCACCTCATATAGAAAAAAATCCCAGAATTCATATAAAGGGAGCTCTACACTCAGGCTGATTCTAAAATTAATCTTTCAAATTTACATATTAAGTTTGCCAAGCAGAAAGCATTTTAGCAATTATATTCCTTCCATTTCTTTTGCCTGAATAGAATACTCTGACCTTCCAAAACATTGATTTAGAGAAGAAAAGGGTTTGTTTTGCCTTATACTTCCGGGATATAGAGTTTGTCATAATGGTGAGGGCATTGCACAGGAAGTGTGAGGCTCACCCACCAGGCATTGGGGAGGCAGCCAGACCATATTTAGTATTCACACAGGAAGCTGAGAGAGAGAACAGCAAATGGAGTCAAGCTAATCTAACTCAAATCCACTGGAGTGACTTCTCCTAGTAAGAAGCATCCACCTCCTAAAAGACTCTAAAGGATTCGTATGCAGACACGTAGAAACACAAACACACACACACACACACACACACACACACACACACACACACACACACACACACTTCCAATCACCAAAAATCTCAATTTTAACAATATTTTCAAAAGTAAATGCAGAAATTAAGTGACTACAGTGTTATTTGTTTTTTCAGGAACTCTGAAGGAGGGTTGTTTTCACCCTAACTATCTTAGAAACCAGCCTGAGCTTACAAAATCTAATCTGCTATAATTCAGGGGATACAAAAATAGAAAAAAAAACAGTATTTTCTATGATTACACAAATGTCAATAGCGATTTCCTCAAAGTGCTCGTGAATGGATGTTCCTATAAAGAACTTTCCTCAATGCATCTTCTGCAAGGCTGATTAACTGATTAGAACTGTAATGACTGTGCAGAGGTTGAAGTTCTGCAGGCCCAGGGCCAGATACAGATTATCCTTATTAGTCACTAATAACTGACCTTTGTATATGACCAAATTGCAAACTTTGGGATATATTAATTGAGCAGAGGACTGACTTGCACCAACCAAAAGACTGAGATTATCATCAGAGGGTAACAGCCTCTGGGCCTCTATCACAGATTTCTGAGGGGGTCCATCAGTGTATTTGAAGAGTCCCATGGTTTATGACTTCCTTTGTCTATTACTATAACACTTCATGAAATTGTTACCACACTGGAACATGGAATTTAGGGTTAACTGAATCTGTGTTCCTGGACCAGTGTTCTTGGGCCATGGTTACTCACACGTAAGTCTAGAATTAATTAGATCCTGCTCTTTCAGGTGAAATTTGTGTTTTATGTCAACAGTTATGGTGCCCAAATGTGGAAACCTCCAAAATAAACCACTTTTCCTTGGATGAGACAGGCACCAATATGGATCCCCTCTATCCAAAGTGCCAGTATTATCTCTTCAGGTGGATTTTGGTGAATGCTTTCTGTGGCTCCAGTCTCCCTTTTGATTTGGACAACAGTCAAAGAAATGTAACTATTTTCAGACTCATACCTCAACTATCATCCTCTGACCTTGCCTCATCATACTTTATCTCCAAAGGGAGCGAACTTCCCTTTCAAAAGAGAAGATACTTACAGCTTAGTTTAAGATAAAAACAAAAGAAGAGGACATCCTACTCTATGCTTAAAAACCCAAAGGCTGCTTCCCACTGGGAAGCTCTCTCTCTCCTCCATTTGGATGTCTTAGTCTCCCTTTGAAGAGCTTTCTTTCTCTTAACTCTCATGCTTAAGCTTCCATTAAAAGATTTTTTTTTTTTTTTTTTACTATACCACAAGTCAAAAATCCTGATTAGGCATGAGTTGGGTCCTGGAAAGTCTAATGGAACTCTTCAGGTTGCTGTAGATGACAATGTACAGCTATGTCTCTGTCCCAACTAAGATTTGTAGGTGCTCCCCTAAACTACTCAAGGGACTTTCTGCTCCTTCCCTTATCTTCATGTTCTTTATTTTATGGAAAGTTAATTGCTTAGACAAAAGAGACTCTGCCTGCTTCCCCACCCCCATCATTTTCTGAGAAGGGATTGAGTCCTATAACTTTTAAGGCCAAAATAGGTGAAATCAAACTCAATGCATTTTGATTTCTTAAGAAGATAAAACTCCAGCTGTCTTTAGAATTTGTATTAGATGTCCATTGGGATCTTATCATGGTGGGGAACTTAACATATGTTCCCCAGATTATTGGTGGATGGAATCACTTCTGATCTATAGGGACACTAGGGATGTCTAGAGGGAAAAGTAGCCACCTAAACATGGGTGATGACCAAATGTCAGGTAAATATGGGACAGATTATCTTTATGTAGACCAGGATAAAATACAGGCAAGATTGGTACTAAGCAAGTAACTGATAGCCAGTCCAGGATACTATACTTTCATATAGTTCCCCTTCTTTCATTTAGATATGCAAGCCCGCATGGGAAATGTAGTTTAGTCCTGCTACAAATTAAAAGAGAATTTTTTTAACTTCAATAACATTGAGTGTGCTGGTTTTATCTGTAATGACATTTCACCCTCAGATAGTTAGCTCTAATAATAGAAAAGGATGTTACCTTAAGTCCACATGATAAACTTGACCTTTTGATCATTTTACTCAGCCTTCCGCATATCATAAAGAGATAGGGCTATATAAGCTTTCTACTTGGTTATTATACTGGGCACAGCTGGATTGCATGTAATTTTGACTAGTCTAGCTATGATAATTATTGCCACATGTTGTTTTGTGTCCCACATAAAAACTAAGTGACAAATCCTGTGACCACTTTAATTTTTTATTTATTTGCATTGAGTACTGTATATAATGTACACATATATGTAGAATGCTCAATTAAAATGCACAAGTACATATTTATAAATGTGAGTGTTTGGGTTATTTATTAAAAGACTTGATAAATATATACTGCCTTATACAGGTAGGCTAAAGTTCTTAAAATTTATTAAAATTGTATTTGGAGGTTGATTAAGTGTTTTATAAAAACTCTAACATTTTATTTGTATAGAACACCATTCATCGAAATTGTAGGACTAATTTTTCATTAAGCTATAAGAGTTAATGCTATGCACATAGATTTTGACAAGGATTTTCTTCCAAAACAGGTTCTAATGAAAAAAATTGATTATAATTTTACTTCAATTAAATAATAGTCATGGGAAAAATAAGAATTATATGGCACAAAATGTTTTATGTTAATCAAAATGCCCCTTACAAATGTATTTTAAAAACCCTTATTAAAATAAATTGTTTTCAAAATCATTCTTTTTTTATTTAAAAGTTTTTATCACCTTACATATCAACTGCAGTTTCCTGTCCCTCACTTCCTCTGGCCCACTCCCCACCTTCTCCCCATCCCACTCCCCATCCACTCCTCAGAGAAAATAAGACCTCCCATGGGGAGTCAATAAAGTCTGGCACATCAAGTTGAGGCAGGACCAACCACCCCCCTCCCCCACCGCCCCTATTGAGGCTGAACAAGGCATTCCTCCATAAGGAATGGGCTCCAAAAACCTGGTTCATGCACTAGGGAGAAATCCTGGTCCCACTGCCCGTGATCCAAAAAACTGCCCAAGCCACACAGCTGTCACCCACATTCAGAGGGCCTAGTTCTGTCCCATGTAATTCCCCCAGCCATCAGTCCAGAGTCCGTGAGCTCCCACTAGCTCAGGTCAGCTGTCTCTGTGGGTTTCCCCATCATGATATTGACTCTTTGCTCATATAATCCCTCCTCCCTCTCTTGGACTGGACTCCTAGGAGCTCTGCCCAGTGCTTAGCTGTGGATCTCTGCATCTGCTTCCATCAGTTACTGGATGAAGGTTCTATAATGAGGATTAAGGTAGTCATCAATTTGATTACAGGGAAGACCAGTTCAGGCACCCTCTCCACTATTGCTTAGAGTTTTAGCTGGGGTCATGCTTGTGGATTCCTGGGAATTTCCCTAGCACCAGGTTTCTCCCTAACTCCATAATGGCTCCTTCTATCAAGATACCTCTTTCCTCGATATTCTTAATATATAAATAAAAATGGTAAGGAAGGCTCTTCAGCTGTAATACACATAAAAAGGACATATTTTTGAAAATCTTTTTATTTTAAATTTTTTTCTTTTCATGATTAGGATTTCAGGAGGGAGACGGAATCCCAACAAATAGTCACATTCAAAATTTGAGCATTTCAAAGTTCTTATCTCATCCAATTTATAGTAAAAGAAAAAACATTATTTTAAAATGAAGCTGTCAATGACTGCTCAACCTGCTCAAAGCCTCATCACTGCTCAGGCTGAGTTTGGGGTCTTTAAAAATCAAGTTTTCTGCTTAGTATTGACTCATACCTGTAAGAGTATATAAACTTGCAATTAACAATTGCTTAAAGCTACTAAAAAAAAATCCAAATGGTGTAACTTAAAACTGGCAAGTTACAGATGTAAATAGAAGCTACAAAATCAGATTTGACAACCAAGAATCCACCTTCAGTTACAGCTATGTGTATCTATGTACTGTCTACAGGTGCTTAAGTTTTCTGTCATGTACATAGTGCCTAAGTAGTTTATAAGTAAGTGTAAGTTATGATTACCAAATTAAACCCAAATTCTTCTTAGTTCGTAATGTAACTGAAGTTTGAAGGTTTATGTAGTTAAGCTTATGAAGGGGCAGGGCAGAGAGCTCTGAGCTTCCTCTTGGGGGTTGGGTCCTGGGGTACCAGGAAGGAGTGGCTGAGACCTCTGTTTAGAGAGGGAGGGGTGGGGCTGTGAGGACAGGGTGTCTGTGCTGTCTGGGTCAAAGGGCATCAGAGGGAAACGGAAGGGTGTGGTGGAGAGGGGACAGGAATATATTAGCCTAGAGCCCTTTAAGGCTAGGAGCCCTGAGCCTTAGCTCAGACCCTCAATCCTCTGGAGTCTGCTTGAATACCAGCCATGCTCGCCGCCGCGGGCTCCCTAGTGGCCGCCATCTGGGCAGCGCTCCATCTCCGGACTCTGCTGCTGGCTGCTGTCATCTTCCTGTTTCTGGCTGACTACTCCAGAAGCCGGCGCCCCAAGAACTTCCCTCCAGGGCCGCGACGCCTGCCCTTCGTGGGCAACATATTCCAATTGGACTTTAAGCAGCCCCACCTGGCGGTCCAACAGGTAGGAAGGGACAAGGGTGCCTGGCTCTGCCCTGACCTAATCCTGAACTGCTGGATCTGCGACTTCCAGGACTGCGTGGAGGTGGGCGGGCCTCTAAGACTCAGGCTCATAGTGGCTAACCCCAGGCCAAAGAGTTAGCTTCTGTGAGTGCTCATTTAAGAAATCCCCAGCTCAGTAGGGCAGTGGTGGTGCAGGCTTTAATTCCAGCACTCAGGAGGCAGAGGCAGGTGGATGTCTGTAAGTTTGTATGCCAGCCTTGTACGCAGAGCCAGTTTCCAGACAGACAAGGCTACACAGAGAAACCCTGTTTCCAAACACCAAAATCAAACCTCAGTTTTCTTGTATTTTGGCAAAAGAAAGTAAACTTTGGTTGGAGTTTTTCTCTTGGTAAATGCTTTCATAAATTGCAAGAATAAAATGACATGCTTTTATTTTATCTTGTCAGGGTTAAAATATTTCATCTATGTTTTGCTACACAGTCATTATGAGGTTGGGTGATGTGTCTGTTGTCTCACAATAGGCCATGCTGACACTGAGGCTGGGAACATCAGGCCAATCCAGTAATTTCTCATTCCTTTATTTTGTATTTTCTATGGGTTTACATTTTGATATCTGGGTGTAAACAAATGGAGTTAAATGATACAATTTAGGCAAATTAAATTTTAATTCTTGCTATTAGGAAACAATCCTCACAAGCTGACCCATGGCCTTCCCTTTGGGTTTTATGCTCCCCTTCATTCAGATTCCATGATAAGCACAGATGGAGTCACTTTAGCAGTCATCTACTAGCGTTCCATTTTCCACTGAGTAAACCCATTGAGGAAAGGGGTGATCTGATGCCCCCATGTTGTTCAGTGAGCTAATGACAAAACAAGGGCATGAACCTACATGATTTGACTCAACACTGACTGTTTTCACATATCCTTCCTACGCAGAAGAAAAATGGCATTTGATAACTGGAAATATTTATTCCCAGACTTAGCATGACAGGCACAACACAGAATAGTCTATGGTCAAATAAGTCCTATGGATTCTGGTAATCAATTGTGATATCATATGAAATCTAGATGGACAGGCAGCTCTGGGCCTAGCTTTGATAGAATGATGGCATCAATTGTGCTGTGCTTAGAAGGAATGTTTAGCAAGTGTCTAGTGTAGTAAAGGGATGAGATATTTTAAATCAATTAAAATGACATCATTTAAAACAGGATGAGGTTAGTGAAGAAGCTGGGTTGCTTGTTGAGCATGTGTGAACTGTACTTCTCTCCAACTCATAGTTTCTTAGCTTTCTCTGTAGTAGTTCACAGAATCATTATAGGAACGTTACTCAAACAAGAGAAAGTCTTAGCAGACTGAAGTGGGCATGTGATACATAAGTTAGATATTAGCATGTACTTCAAGCTAGCTAGTAACAATGGGACCCCATCATACAATGGTCCTAAGTATACCTTATATGATCGTTGTATGTAGAAAATTACTTAATAAATTCCAAGTCACTGTTAGGATGTCTTATGTGAGTTGATGCTCATTCCATTCTCTTTCTTTTCCTTTTATTCATATTTAACTTATCAGATCAAACCCCTGAGAACACACTTGGATTTTTTGCATATTAGGCAAGAATTTTGTGACCTGAATGCTGCATGACCCATCCGTGCTGTCTCTGGGCTCTGCTTCTCTGTCTTTCTGTTGCTTCTATTACCAGAGCCCTCCTCTAAATCACATTCAGTTATTTAAATAGCCACAGTTACTTTGCTATTGCTTCTGATATCATAGTTATTTATGCAAGCAAACCATCAAAAGGTATTTTTATTTACAGTGAATTCCATGCTTGTAAGCCAGAGAGGTAGCTCAGTGGGTAAGGGCACTTGCTGCAAAACTTGGTAATCTGAATTCAATCACCTGGACTCACATAGTGGAGAGAACAGACTCTGGAAAATTGTTCACTGACCTCCACATGCTCAACACCACCCATTACACACACACACACACACACATACACAAACACACACACACACACACACACACACACACACAAGACACATACACATACACACAATCACACACACACACACACACACAGAGTCAGTCAATCAATCAATCAATGTAAAAATATTTTTTCTTGTTCTGTGCTTGCTACAGCAGACTTGCGCAGACATACCTTGGTCTTTGGCAGGTGGCATACACTGTGTTCTCTGCCTTCCCTAGACTGCAGAATGCTGGATGTTATAGAATTTGCTTATTTATTGAAATTTATGTCCTCAAGCCTTCTTCTGGGGATACACATTATAACACCATCCACTCACTGATTCATGTTAATGAATTTGTATTGGTAATTTCCATTCTTGCAGTGAATTTGAGTTTAGTTAGTGCAGTAGCAAAGAAAAGAAATTCAAAACCATTTCCACAAACCAAGGTTGTAGATGGATTTCTTAATGGTCTTATTAAATAAAAAAAACACAGAGAAAATATAGGGGTGAAGGCCTCACAGAGGTCAGGAAAATAGGGAAAGCCACCAGCCAACCTTACCTCACCAACTCTGCAGCTTCCAAATAAGAGCTACTTCCTGTCTTACCCATGCCTTTATTGCCTTGCTGTTCTGCCCTCTCATTGACTTTCTTAGCCTAGCTAACTCACTTCCTTGTCACTGTCTGTCTGTACACACCTCCAGGTCTCTATGGTTGGTACTGGGATTAAAGGCGTGTGTCACCACACATGGCTCTGTTTCCTAGTATGGCCTTGAAAACACAGAGACCCTGCCTGATAAATGATCAGATTAAGGGCATGTGCTGCCTGACTTTTTGTTTACTTAAAATGGCTGGCCTTTTCCCCTGATCTCCAGGCAAGCTTTATTAAAGCACAAATAAAATATCACCACATTTCAGCACAAATAAAATATCACCATACAAGGTTAATCATTCACAGGGAAATGAGGACTTGTCAATATGATTAGCATTTGCTACACATGTGCCTACCATCCTTGGACACATAGGTATGAGCACACTCACCTCTAACTATTGAAATATTTTACAGCTTGTGAAGAAGTATGGGAATGTTATCAGTCTGGATTTTGGAATCATGTCTTCAGTGATTATAAGCAGTCTGCCTTTAGTCAAAGAAGCCTTTACTCACCTGGATGAAAACTTTATGAGTCGCCCTAAATTTCCTATGCAAGAACATATCTTTAATGAAAATGGTAAGTCTTTTATGTGTTGTTGTAAACAAATTTCTAAACGGTCTTATTAATAGAAAACACGGAGCCAGAAATAGGGGTGAAAATCTGAGCGAGATCAGAGGAATAGGGACAGCCATATGCTAACCTAACCTCACCAACTCCACAGCTTCCAAAAGCAAGATATTTCCTGTCTACCCACATCTATATGCCTTGCTGTTCTGCCATCTGATTTGCTCTCTCTGTCCAACTACATCACTTCCTCTTCCTGCCTAGCTCTGTCACTTCCTGTCTATCTGTACAGACCTCCAGACCTCCATGGTTAACTAGTGTTAGAATTTAAGGCTTGTGCCACCATGCCTGGCTCTGTTCCCAGAGTGGCCTTGAACTCACAGAGATCCAGACAGATCTCTGCCTCCCAAGTAATAGGATTAAAGGTGTGTGCTAACATTGCATGACTTTTGTGTTTACTTATAATGGCTGTTTTTTCCCTCTGATCTCCAGGCAAGCTTTATTTATTAGAGCACAAATAAAATATCAACACATGTTATAAGATATGTATTATAATTTTTATGATACATAAAAGGCACCTATACGCCTTATTTATCCAACACTCCCATAAGCCAATCCCTTCATGAAATGCCATCATTAATGAGAGCTGGATACCACATTTCTTGAATGAAAGCACCCATAAGATGATTTATAGTGTGTCCTAATAGAGACCAGGTGAACTCACATGTTTATTAAAACTAACTCTTGATGATTTGATAGGAAGTAACCACAGCACCAAACACAGCCAGACACACTGTGCTCTCACTTCCATTTATCCACTCTAACCCTAGGAAAATGAATGGAAAAGGTCAGCTTCTCCTTTCTACTACATCTTGCTTATACCTGTTTATACTTTATCATTAAAGTCATGAGATCTCTAGGCTCCTAGCTAATGTCACAATTTATTTGTATGAATACTTTATATTATCATCAAATAAAGTCATAAGCTGAAAACAAAATTTGAAATCTATTAATCCAAGAAAACAGCATTTTAGATGCTTCTAATTGCTCCTTGAAATAATTCCACATCAATTCACTGTGTTGTCTGCTATAAGAATATAAGTGCTAGACACATGTCTTAGAGTTACTACAACTGTAATGACATACCATGACCAAAGAAACTTGGAGAGGAGAAGGTTTATTTGGCTTATGCTTCCATATCACTGTCCATCATCAAAGGAAGTCAGGACAGAAACTCAGGGCAAGAATTTAGAGGCAGGAGCTGATGCAGAGGACATGGAGGAATACTGCTTACTATCTTGCTCCTCATGACTTATTCAGCCTGCTTTCTTATAGAATCCAAGACTGCTAGCCTAGACTTGGCATCACCCACATGGGCTGGACCCTCCCACACTAAACACTAATTAAGAAAATGCCCTACACGCATGCCTACAGCCCTATCTTAAGTAGATATTTTCTCAATTGAGACTCTCCACTCTAGAATGAATTTAGCTTGTGTGATGTTAACATAAAACCAGCCAGCACAGTATAAGTTAATAACAGGATATAAAATAGTAAAGCAGTATCAATTATTACAGCCCAGGGAACCAGCTTCAGGCTGCAGCAAGGCAAAACTAAGACTTTTCTATTGAGGAATTTTTAGGGAATACGGGGGAAAAAAACTCATACATACTCTAGGTGGTTACTTGTCTTCATTTCTCATGTTGCCTCTGCATTTTCTTTGTACTTCACAGCTATCTATACCCAAACAGAATCCTTCAGGCAATATAGAACTTGCATTTGAGGATCACATTTCATTTCTTAAGTAAATGATAAGAAGCAGAGTTGTCCTGATAACACACATGTAATAAATCTCAACTTCTTATTTAGTAAGGCTGTAATTTACAGCTGCATTTTCAAAGAAAGAACCAGTTATTTGGACTTATTAAAGGAGTTACTAAATTACTGAGAATTCTAAGAAAGATAAAGAAATCATGCACATATCCTATATTTCTAAGTGTAGTAACATTTTAAACTAACATTTTTTGATTAACCATCATAAAAAACGTCAATGTCTCTTGGCCTGGGAGTGTTTACAGAGAGCTGTGTCTTAAATGCTTTGATTGGAACTCAGGTTTACCTTACTTTTCTTAATATAAGCTCACTTTGGCATCCTCCAAGGCACAGTGACATTAGAATTATTTTAAATCTTAAAGTATATTGTTTTTGTCCTGTGTGTTAGTTCTAATTATCTGAAAAACACCTGCAGCCCTCATTAGGCTCTACAGAGAAGTTTTTTTCTATAGACTAGACTAGTCAGAAGATATTTTCACAAATTTTGGTTAGGAATGGGTGCAAGGACTAAATCATTTGCCAGCTAGCAATAATTAGGCTTTTTGTATTTACAACCTAGCCAGATAGCTCAGTGTGCTGTTGTGAACTAAGATAGGGAATATTTATCTAAAAAACCATTAGCAAGGGACCTGGTCTAATCTTAAAGTTACTTTGAAGCTTTAAATCAACTAATAGTATGAAAACTGTCTTAGAGCTGGGGAGATACAACTATTTCCCTATTTCAGCCTGAACTATGATTGAAAGGAAAAAAAAATCTCTCAAAGACTTACAATTCCTGACTTGTGTAGCATTACTCTGTATTCAATTATTCATCAAAACTCTGTATAAGCTAACATTATTGATATCAAATGGACAATACATCTCCACAGATAAAGACCCCAGTAGATAAGGCTGCATTCATGAGAGACATTCATTTAATGACCTGAAAGAATATTACTCAAGGGATTATAATATCCTTGAAATGACAAGAAGGAGAGAGTGTTAAGGAACTGAAAGACATCCAGTGTCGCAAGTATGGTATTTAAAGGACATAATTAAGTGTGCATGATATTTCTGAGCTCGATAAGAAAGAGAACAAGCAGTGTTTGCTGAATGTTAATTTTTATTCTAACAGCTGGGAAAGATTCTGAATGTTTTTTAGCAGAGACTTTAGGATATAAGATAGAGACTGGAGAAAGGGCATTGGGAAACTTGTTTTCAATATGAAGTGTGGGAGCTTACACATTGCAGTTACAAAAGCAGACTGTGGATTAGATCAGGATGATGGCATTGAAGCCTTATCAACACAAGTCCAGGAATGCCAGAGGGAAGCCAACATGACTCTATGATCTAGATGCCAGGATGCTAAGAGAACTCCACCAGGAGTTTGATGACTAACTTTGGTTGTCAACTTAACTGCATTTGGAATCAACTAAAATCCTAGCAACTGAGCACACAATGAGGAATTTTGCTTCATTGGATTATCTGAGATAAGAAGACCCACCCTAAATTTGGACCACATCTTCTGGTGGCAGCCCACATAAAAGGACATGGAAAAAGGAAACTTTTCCCTTTTGCTATCTTGCCTTCACTCTCACTGGCAAGTTCAGCTATCCTGCTGATGAAGAATTCCTTCACAGGCATTAGAATCTACTTCTTTAGGATTCCAGTGTATATGGAAGACTAGCTGAGACGTCTAGCCTCATGGATTGAACAATCATAGCATTATTGGCCTTTCCATCAGGAAACAGACATTTTGGGACTAGCCTATAAGCCACTCTAATAAATACCCCTTTAATAGCTCTAGATTCATTCTATCACTGCTAGTCCTTTAGAGCAGTAGTTCTCAACCTGTGGGTCACAACGCTCTTGGGGGTGGAATGACCTTTTCACATGGGTCACCTAAGACCATTGAAAGTATCAGACATTTATATTATGATTCATAACAGTATCCAAACTACAGTTGTGAACAAGCACAAAAATAATTTTATGGTTGGGGGTCATGACAACATGAGAAACTATATTAAAGGGTTGCAGCATTAGAAAGATTGAGAACCACTGCTTTAGAGAACCCCAACTAATACAGATTGTGGTACCAAGATTTAGCTTAATATAGATAACAAGATATATCTATATTATACTGTGTGTGTGTGTGTGTGTGTGTGTGTGTGTGTGTGTGTGTGTGTGTGTATAATATATATTTATAAAAATGTGGGCACACTGAATACAAAGTGTAGATGCATTGGTTCTGGAGAGACTTGAACTTGATCACTTCATTAGCTACCTATTAACCATGTTCCCATAAAAATTTTACTTTATCCTTTTATCTAATTTCTCTATCCATTGTAATAGATCTGGAATGTTCTGGTAATAAGCTGTAGCTGGAGTTTTCTCCCCAGGTCCCGCCAAGTCCCGGCAGTCTGACAGCCCACTTATAAAATGAACACAGAGACGCTTATATTATTTAAACTGTTTGGCCTAATGGCTCAGGTTTCTTGCTAGCTGTTCTTATACCTTAAATTAACCCATTTCTATTAGTCTATAAGTTGCCATGTGGCTTGTGGCTTACCGGTACTTTACATCTTGCTTGTCACGGCAGCACCTGGATGGCAGCGTCTCTCTGCCTCAGCCTTCCACCTCCCAGAATTCTTCTCCTCCTTGCCCCACCTACCCTATCCTTCCTGCCTGGCTACTGGCCAATCAGAGTTTTATTTATTCACAGCATACAGGACATCCCACAGCAATAAGCCTTTGGATTTTCTAAGAGTACTAAATTAAAGTATATATTAGAAATACTGACAAAACTGTGTGATGTTGCAAGCCACCAGGAGATGCTAGCCATTATGCTCCTTGCTTTGTGATATTCTACCTAGACAGCTGTCAAGCCCCTTTTTAGCCCTTCTCCTTCCATCATACCCATGCCCAGCCAGTTTCTCGGGTAATTTTAGATCAGAATCACAATGTCATAACGCTGAATCTCTTCTTTCCAGGGTTGATCTTCTCCAGAGGCCAGACATGGAAGGAACAAAGAAGGTTTGCCCTGATGACACTGAGGAACTTTGGACTGGGAAAGAAGAGCTTAGAACAGCGCATCCAGGAGGAGGCCCAACACCTTGCGGAGGCCATAGGAGAGGAGGGAGGTGGGCATCTCATGGGCAGGTGCTGGAGGCTGTGGCCCTTTCATTCATTGAATAGATTCTTCCTAAGTGTCTATCTAAGTGCTTGTCCTGGGCCCTGCACTGTGCTGAGCACTGAAGATTGAGCAGTGAACATGTAGCTTTGACCCTGCCCCAGGAGTTATGCAGCTAAGCAAACAAATGATCATTAGACACAGGACTGCGCTTAAGGCCTGGTCATCAGTCTGACTTCCAAGATACTGACAGATCTTTGAAAGATGCATCTTTTTCTTTATCCACCTCCAGGACAACCTTTTGATCCTCACTTCAAGATCAACAATGCTGTTTCCAATATCATTTGCTCCATCACTTTTGGCGAACGTTTTGAGTACCATGACAGTCAGTTTCAGGAGCTGCTGAGGTTACTGGATGAGGCCATGTATTTGGGTTCCTCACTGATGGTCCAAGTAAGCATTCTGGCTTCCTTTATTTTGGGAGAAAGTTGGACTGGGGCTAATTCAAGTACAGGTAGGTTCTTTCTTTTTGTTCCTTGGAATTTTTAAAGGTAAAATATAATGTCTTCAAGTAGAGTTTGATACAAACTGATCAGTCGATTTGGAAGTTTTCAATAGGAAAACTTGCTGTGTACAAAATGTTTCTAATATTTTAATGAAGTACCAACATTTATGTGATATTTATGTATGTCCAAATGCTGCTCTTTTTAAAGTATGGAGATATTATTGTTGATTTTGCCCCTCTCTCTCCCATACCTCTCTCCTTATATCTTACATGCATACCCCAAGTATACTTTCTAGCTTTCCTACTGTGTACAATGCTCATTTTTGTTAACCCTTTGTCATTTTTCATTAATCTTTTCTCAATGGTTAGAAATTTAGTTGTTTCTAATTTAAAATTTTTATTAATAACATTGTTGTGAATATTTTAAGTGTTCATGTTGCCGTATCCACTCATTTTTCTTATATTTTCATTTAGACATAAAAGGTAAGTAAACATTAAAAAGTGGTTCCACTATTTAGATGCCCATTCACTTGAAGCTGTCAATATTGTAATGCCATAAGATGTAGCCCTTTGGGATTCAATCTTTACCCCCATGTTGCTGGACTGTATGTTCCTATGCTTATCCCTATATAAACATTCGTCTTAAAATGGCCTTAGATATCTCTGAAATATCTGATAGGTTGAGCTTTCATCTTTATTTGGTTGTAGGAGCTTGGCAATTTTTCCATGTTTTTTCAATGAGCCACTGTTCATTCAAGGATTTATTTTTCAGCCTCTATGTATTTGTGTAGTTTCTGTAGCGTTTCTTGCTATTGATTTTAAGTTTTATTACACTATGTTCTATTTGGATATAACAATATTTCATTCTTTTGTATTTAGTAAGACTTGAGTCTTTATTTTAGAGAAAATTTCAGATGTAGCTAAGAAGAAAATATTTTCTGTTCCATTTGGATGGAAAGAATCCTGTCCAGATGTCTGTTAAGTCCATTAGATCTATGATGCAGTTTAGCTCTGAGATTTTTTTTCTGTTGGTTTTTACTTGGGATGTCCTATGCAGGAATGGGAGTGGAGTGCTGACATTACCACAGTTATTGCATGAGAATCTATCTGGACTTTGTATTCCTTGTTGTTTGTTTTATGAAATGAGAGTCCCAAATTTAGGTGCATATATATTTACAATTGTTCTAATTGACGAATTGTTCCCTTTATGGATGTGTAGTGGCCTTTTTTATCTCTTCTAGCTAATTTTGATTTAACATCAGAATAGCTAGTCCAGCTTATTTCCAGTTTCTGTTTGCATCATGGATAAGGTTATCATGGAGAGAGGTTAACTAGTTATAGTATTCTGTCAGGTTTTTTTCCCTGGTTGCTTGGATTATTTGTTTTTTTTTTTTTTTTTTTTTTTTTTTTTGCTTTGCCCATGATTAGTATTAAGGATTGGCTTGTTTCCTGTGTTAGACATGATGGATTTTTTCCTAGCTCTTCTTTATTCAGCTGTTCTCATTAAATTTACTCTTTCCTGTGTTCTCATGATTGAGCCTCATCTTTCTTCCTTCTCTGTGTGTAGGACTCAATTAAGCATCTTCTTCAGTGTTGTCTTGGTGGTCATTTTGGTCATTGGATGTCTGTGGAAAGTTTTTAATTTAATTACGTGTGTGTCAGGAGGTGTGCATGTGGGTGTGGGTGCCAGGCTTGTGCAGCCAACACCTTTACTAACTGAGCCATCCCCTGGGATGAACCCTTTAAAACTTTAAATATTGCTTCTTTCCTTTACAGTTTGGATTTCCCATGGAGATGTTCTTATTTGGTCATGTTTATTTTGGGATCTAAACGACTCTTGTATTTGAGTGTCTTTTTGTTTCTTTGACTTGGGAAACGTTCTGCTGTAATATCATTGAATTCATCCTCCATCCCTTTACTTTTTATCTCAGCTTCTGAATAAAGTCGTGCACATTCCTGGCTTGGTCTCTTGATCATATCATGGTTCTTCTACATTCTGGCTGTGGTCATTATTTACATTGTTAGTTACTGCTGTGGGAATGTAGCTTTTCCTCAGCAGTGTTCTCCCTTCTGGATTTTCTCTTTGGTGGAGACTGTTGTTGGGTTTTCCGATGAGCATTTTTGCTAGTTTTGTTTTGTGTTTTGGTTTGTCTTATTTTTGTTTTTTATTTAACTTTAAAATTTCCAACACTTCTATTTGTTTGTTGTTTGTTTTTATAAACTCTCCATTTCCTTGCTGTATTTTCTCCGATTCTGCCCATTTTTTATCTTTTTGCTCCCTCTCTCCTCCTTTCCTCTGTTTCCTGTGGTTAATATATTGTGCAGCCCAATAAACTTATCTGGGGGTCAGAGAATAGAACAGCCACTATATTAAACATAGGTTTAGGCAGTGGTAGCACTACCTGGCTACGGGTTTGTTTTTATTAATAAGACCTTTTAAGATTTATGCTACAGTTTCCTCCGTTTGGCTGACTTTCACGTCTAGAGCACACACTAGATTCCTCTGTTTGTATCTCTTTCAATCTCTGATCATTTTGACCAGAAAACACTTGAAGACCCAATATTTGACATATTTCACGGTCTTTAAATCAAGTTATGATTTTAGAGGCATCATATTACTCTTTTTGTTTCTTGCATTTGTTTTACTGTATGCATCTATTGATTGGGATAGCTCTTCTGGATTCTTTGAAATTATCTTCATATTGAGCAGCCTGTTCTTGAAGGCTAGTATGATTTGCAAGTGGAAAGAAACTGCTCTAGCAGCAATGTTAAACTATACAGATATAAAAACACACTTAAAATTATTGATAGTTCACCAACATGTCTCTGTTGAAATGATAATGTGAAGGGTGCTGTGCAATTTACTATGAAGACAAAATTATTTAAGGTAAGTGTAGAAACACAAATAAGTGAGATAAAGGGAGGAGACCAGAAAAAAGAGAAAAAAAAGAGAAGCAAGGTTCAATAATAAGGGAGTGGAGAGAAGTGTTATAAGGGAAAAGAGAAAAATACAAGAGATTTAAGGGGGGCCATCAAAAATATTGCTCAGTAATAAAAAAAATTCAAAAATAAAATTAGATAAATGTAAGAAAATAAGTAAAATATAAAGATATTATTTTTAAAAGTCAATGAAGTAAAGTCAAAATACTGCCAAATGCAAGGCATTTATAAAATGCAAGGGGTTATAAAAAATAATTTATGGAAGAGAAATATTACTGTCTCCAAATGGAAAAAATGATAAATAGCATTTGTGAATTCATGAAGGGAAATAAAAACTAAAAATGTAATAATAATATTTTTTTTAAAGTATCCACTTAAAACTTGCAAATATAACAAGAAAAAAAAGCAGACAAAAGAGAGCAATAAAGAAAAAGCAACTGACTCAGGTGCGTTCTGAGGCATCAAAAATTGGAGGCTGCTGGTTACATGCATGGAGGAGATGAGCTGAGTCTATGGACTCCTGTCTTGCCTTTGGCTTATGCTGTTGCTGAGTCTTTGCTGGAGCAAGCATCTCCTGTCTTCAGAATTGTCTTCACAGATGCTCTTTTCCTTCTGTGGGTAACAGAGGCCTCTGCAGGTCATAATTAGCATTGCATTTTGTGATCAGGGCACATCTTCTCACACTATCAAGACTTCTTAGATTAAAACCCCTGGTGAGACTCTCAGGTGGAGGTGTATCCCAAGTGTGTTGGGAGTGTGAGAATCAAGAAGACCTGCCTTCACACATTCAGGGCCCCCGAGTACTGATCACCATGCTGCAGGAATGCCCCTCTACATGTCACACACACCCCTGGAATGTCGGAGTGTCTGAATTCTACAGCAATGAACCACAGGAGGTTACCTCCTTAATTTGACCCAGACCATGATCTCAGTCTCAGGAATATCAAATTCCAGCGTTAATTTCAGTTGATAAACTCAATTTGTAGCCACTGAAGGTGTGGCTATCTCCCCTTATATGCTTCCCAGCCTGATATCACTTCCTATTACCTTCATCCTTTGGCTCTTCAGTGTCTTTGATGACGTGAGGAACAGAAATGGGACAACTACTAAATGCTATGTGTGTCCTAGAGTGGAAACAGTTGGACCAGTGCAAAGTAGTCTGAAGCTGGTGTGTTTTGCATGGAGTGTTGAAATGCCCACCACTGGATATAAAGGAAACAGCAGTCCAGGTGTTCTGACAGTTCCATTGTAGAAGATGAACAGGGAAAGTCAAAACTGTCTTGAAACAGAAAGTGAATTTATGTTGTCTCCATGATCTCCTTCTTCTCCCTAATTAGTTCTATAACATCTTCCCATGGATAATGAAACATCTTCCCGGACAACACCAAAAAGCAATAGCTACCTGGGGAAAACTGAAATCGTATGTTTCTGATGTAGTTGACAATCACCGCAAAGACTGGAACCCTGATGAGCCGAGAGACTTCATTGATGCTTTCCTCAAGGAAATGACAAAGGTGGGGAAGATGTGTCTGTGTCTTCTTTCAGAAAGAGTGGTGTAGAATAGCTTCCATTAAGTCAGCAGCAGGCTACCACAAAGGAGGGTTTAGCATAGCAGAGATTTATCTTCTCATAGTTCTAGATCATCTCTGTAATCCTGCTATCCAGGCAAGCTACTTTGGGAGACAATAGAAACTTCATTGCCTGTATCTCCAATCTTCTAGGGAACATTGATGTTTGTTTCTGTGGCTCCCTGCTCCATCTTCAATGCCAAGACTGCAACATCTCTGTCCTTTCTGATCCCTTTACATCTCATTTCTCCTGTTCTAACCCTGGAGGCCCCTTTCCTAAGGATAACTCTGGATAACCTTTCCTCCTGAAATTAATTATATCTACAAGATCTATTTTGTGCATTGAATAACATGCTATGATTGCAAGGATGAAAATATGAACATCTTTGTAAATCAATACTTAACACAGCCTTGAGAGTAAAACAGGAATAATCATTTATAAATGCATGGTAACATAACCTTGGGTTGTTGAGGTCTTTAGAAATAAAGGGATTGCTACCATTTATATTAGCTTGAGGTCCTGGTGACACCCAGATTCTTTCTTGTTTTTCTCCTCCTTGGTCCTTTTCCCATATATGAAGGAGATACACACAAAATAAAAATAGTGGTTAAATTTCAGAGCTTTATTTTGTTATGAGTTGGTCCAGAGCTGGTTACCCTTCCCAACTCAGACCCCACTGCAACAGACAAACTTCAGATAAGTAAATGGTAGAGTTTAACTTTCATATGAAGGTGGGGCACTTACCTTTCCCTAGACTCCATATCAGCACTATTCAATAATAGATCAAGGCAAAAAGACAATGAGGGAACATATTAGTTAACTTTACATCATTGTGATAACAGTATGTGGCAGCAACAACTGAATAAAGCAAAAATGTATTGTGGTCAAGTTTTAGAACATTTCAGTTCATCATGGTGAATAGCAAAGCAGCTCAGCTCATGGGGCAGAAGGGTATGGTGGAGGCTTTCACATCACCGTGCAGCAGGAAGCAGCAAGCAAGGAAGGCACTGTGGGTTTGGTGTGACTCTAAGAGTTACCCTCCTTCCCTACAGGCATCAAGTTCCTTCAGCCAGATGCTATATTCCTATTTCTAGGAACTTCCCCCAAATATTATTGGTGTAAGGAACCAAGTATTTAATACATGAGTCTGTGGGGGAACATCTTGGATTCAAGCCATGCTGTAAAATGTAAGGCTTTGATCCTAGTAGACCTCTGGCAAATACGACTCACTGAATTTGTCATAGAAGTTTCAGCTCACTGGATTATGAACTCCTCTGCCTGGAGCACAATGGTAGTGTGTGTGTGTGTGTGTGTGTGTGTGTGTGTGTGTGTGTGTGTGTATTATCTTCTCTCTTTTTTATTTTTTTTTCTTTTCTTTTTTGGTTTTTCGAGACAGGGTTTCTCTATGTGGCTTTGCGCCTTTCCTGGATCTCACTCTGTAGACCAGGCTGGCCTCAAACTCACAAAGATCCGCCTGGCTCTGCCTCCCTAGTGCTGGGATTAAAGGCATGCACCACCACCGCCCGGCTTATCTTCTCTCTTATTTCATCTTCCTGACATAATATTGATAAAAGCAATATTTATGCCCAGAAGAGGAGACAAATCATTTACCCTGTGAAGTATAGGTATGAGAACAACAACATTAAGAGCAGTATTAACAAACTGATGTTTCTAAAGGAAGTGAGCAAAGTGATGTTTTGTCATGAAGAACTATTGAGGGAATCATTGAGGTTTTGACTTTGCAAGATGATGCAAATTGAAGAATCAATGAATACAGAAAATTCATATTAATAATGTTTCCAGTATCAGCAAAGTCACCTGTTGAATATCAAAGGGAGCATCACTCTGAATGACTTAATGCAATTCATTCCTCAGGGCGAGGACTGGTGTTATGAGACAATCACAAATCCTCTGAATAAGCAAATTCACACTGTCTTTTCTAGTACCCAGACAAGACTACTACAAGTTTCAATGAAGAAAGCCTCATCTGCAGCACCCTGGACCTCTTCCTTGCTGGAACAGAGACAACATCCACAGCCCTGCGCTGGGCTCTGCTCTACATGGCCCTCTACCCGGAAGTCCAAGGTGAGCACATGGTGACTGCATTTAACTCAGGCAGAATGGGTTAAGAAGACAGCATGGTGGAGTGAGAAGAGGTGGAGCAGCTGTGCAGCACTGTGCACTTGGGAAAAGGCACATCCTGAACTGATCTCTTAGGACTGTAATTGTTCCAGGAGCTCAGATATTACAGTCTGTACCATCAGCAATCTTGGAGTTCAGGAGTAAAGAGAGAAGTCAGTTTAAATTGTAGTATATTCCAACAAAGAGTAGATTTACCACACAGCATTCATCCACACCCTCCTTCAATTATAACAATCCTTCCCAGTTTGAGTACTGTCCTAATTCTTTATTCTGGTATTTGATGTCTTGTGATTTGCACCTCTCTGCCTGCTCAGGGATCTGTCTGTTTCTGCCTCACAAATACTAGGATGACAAACAAGTGCAGACTTCCACATCTGGCTTTCTTGCCTTTGTTCTGTAATTCCAACTCATGTTCTCATGCTTGTATAGCAATCAATTTACTCTAGGTTATCCACACACACAAATGTTATTAATACATATTATATATATTATCTGTATTTATATTATGTACATCTGGGCTACTATCTAAAATGACTTTCTTGATGAAGGTTTTGTTTTGAAGAAAGCTTAAAGCCTATTGAGTTCATAGTTCAGGCTTGCTTTCTGAAAAAGATTCTAGGATATCAGCATATTTTTAAAAGTTTTTTAAATATATTTTTTATTTTGTCTGTGTATGTGTGCACTTGCATGCTGTCTTTCCAAGTGTACATATGGAGATTGAATAACAACTTAAGGAAGTTGGTCTTTTCCATCATGTGGATTCCTGACCTCAATCACATATCATCAGGTTTGGTAATAAGTGCTAAACCATCTCACTATCCAGTATATTAATTGATAGAACTTTAATTCATGTTCATTTTGTAGTATTAACAGTAGTCAACCGTTGGAAGCACCCAGGATACTCATTAACCATGAGTAAAGTTAGGTACAGAAATTCAGCCCTCAAGGAAAAACATCTTGATGCATGCATGAATATGGAAGACAAATATATTATATATTTAATTATACAAATGTTCTAGAATAGTTAAATTTGTAAACTTAGAAGGTAGAATATAAGAGAGATAAACCAAGAATTGTGAAGAAGTAGTTTGTTTTGCACAATAAACTGGTCCTGCCACTACTTTCCAACCTTGTAAAGGGCATTGGGGTCCAAATTCCTTTCACCTTATGGCAGTGATGAGCTCAGCTGAGGCTCACAGACTCTGCAGTGGCTCCTATGAGGAATGCCTTTGTACCCCATGGAGAAAACTAGAGAAAGAAGTGGACATTATCTCTACAAGCCTTATTTCAAGGATGATACATTGTATCTACTTATATGTAAATGGAAGTTTCTGTCCTGCCGGCAACTCCCAAATACCCAGCAGCCGCTTATATTACACACAGAGGCTTATATTAATTATAAATGCTTGGTCGATGGCTCAAGCATATATTAACTGCTCTTGTAACACAAATTGCTAAACAGACTTATTAATAAAAAAAAAAAACAACCTGGAGCCAGGTATTGGGGTGAAAGCTGAAAGATCAGAGAGAAAGCCAGCCATGTCTTACCTCTAGGAAATCCTCAGCCAAAAAGAGAGCCACTTCCTATATACTCATGCTTATATACCTTTCTGTGCCCTGTCATCTTACTTCCTCTCTCTGCTCAGCTCTATCATTTCCTGTCTGTCTCCAGACCTCTATGGTTAACTAGCACTGGGATTAAAGGCATGTGCTACCATGCCTGGCCCTGTTCCCAGTGTGGCCTTGAACTCATGAGACCCGGATGGATCTTTGCCTCCCAAATGTGCTATCACTGCCTGACCTCTGGCTTTATTTATTAGAGCACAAATAAAATATCACATTTCCCCTTTTTTGTCTAAAATAAAAAAGTTATAACTAATCTCAGAAAAACTATATACAGTAAGTACAATAATTATATACGATATATACAGGCAATAAATACATCAACAAAGTCTAGTCCATTTGCGTTTGACTAATTCAGAGAAAATATTCCATTTTCTATCATATCTTTGTGAATCCAAAGGATTGTATCTAATTTATCTTCTATCCTAATTTGCATTACCAAAACTATCTTTTGATGTCTTGCAAATGTATATACTTTACACCTCTTTAGTGAGTTTCTTTCCTGAAATTGTTAACAAGGAAAACTATAAGTATAACTATCTAATCTTCAATTCCCTCAGAGACTTGAGAAGGAAATAATATTACCTAGTAAAACAGGAAGTGCTATCAAGCAACTTCCAAAAAATGTGAGTTATGACAGAAACAGCCAACTGCCCAGTCACCTGAATTTTCTCTGCAACATTGGGGCATCATCTTTGGCCTACAGGCTTAGCATATCTGAGAGACTCATCTATGAACCAGGATTTTCTTCCTACCTTGAGAAAGAGCCTTCCTACCTTGTCCTGGCAAGGATCAACAGTCCTTTTTTTGTGTGTGTCCTGCTTTTCCATTTTGGACAGCATGCTGTCAGCAGTTGACGTAAGGGCACTTTCTTGCCCAGTGACTAACTTTTGCCACAGAGAGTTAAGCTCCATATGGAGTTTCTTCAATGCCCATCATTCTCTGAAGTAGATTGGTTCTGCCAGGAGCAGACATGTCTCATAGTCATAAAAAAAGAAAAAAATTGTTATTAAAACATCTTAAATGCCATATTCTTCAGATCTCTGAAGGGTTTGAAGATGACCTGTTTGTCTAAAATATTTTTCTGCTTGACCTTGAAAACATAACTAATATGACTACAAGTTCAATTGTAATGACTAACTACTAACTTATATTTCTTTATATCCTAATTAGTTGGTAATAATAAGGATTAGCAAATTGCATTACATTGTTAAATGAACTGTATAGGTACAAGACCTTGAACAATATTAGAAATATATGTACAGTATTTTCTAACAAAATCAATCTCAAATTTGTATCAATATACATAATTTGCATATAACATACAAAAAATCCATTCCAATGTAATATATTTAAAACTAGTAGTTGCATTTTAAAAATAGATTCAATAATCTACCTTCTAATCTTATCATATCTATATAAATCAATCTCAAATTTGTAGCAATGTACATAATTTGTATACAATATACAAAAATCCAATCCAATGTAAAATATTTAAAATTAGTAGTTGCTTTTTAAAAGTAGATTCAATAATCTACCTTTTTATCTTATCATACCCATATTCTCTCTTTTTTCTTTTCAGAGTAGATTCAATAATCTACCCTTTTATCCTATTATTTCTGTATCTCTTTTTTTCAGAGTAGATTCAATAATCTACCTCTTATCTATATCCTCTTTTTTCTTTTTCTTTCTTTCTTTTCAAACAAAAATGCTAAATCTAATCTCCTTCTTTAGCTTTTTCCTTACCATTATCAATTAATAACTTGTAAACAACCATCCTAAACAATGACAATTATCCATAACCCATTGAATGACCAAAAACCACCCACCCTGCCTCTTGGGAATATGGGTGTCATGTTCTTAAAATTACTTCCTGCTGTCTGGGGACAAAGACATCTGTAGGGGATCCTGAAAAGAAAAATTGGGTGGTTAATTTCAAGTTCTGGGAGAGTTAGCTGTATCATTTGTTGTCCATAATATGCAAATGCAGGGATTATCTCCAGTCCTTGCTCGAGTAGTCTGTGAGACTGATCATCTCAGCTGGCCAACTTGAAATTATCCTGAGCAGTTTGTAGTCAAAAGCTCATATTTGGGTGATGTTTGTCAGATTAGTGGTATTATCATCATCCTGATGGAATTATCATTGTGGGGCCTCATAATCTCTTTGGAGGCTTTAAAGTTGCTGTTAGGCACAGTCATGGTTCCCTGCAGAAAACTGATAGAGACTCAAACATGAAAACATGTGCAAGAGACTAGATAAAGCCTTTTTTCTAAGACTAGTGAGTACTCTATATGACCATTAATATCATGACAAAAGTTTAAAAAATATATATTAATCTTATAAATTTTGATATAAAAGTCATACCTTAAGGAAAGTTTTAAAGAATCAAAATAGAACTAAATAATTATGAGATTAGTGGCAGCAGAATAGTCCCTTAAGTTTGGCTTTCATCTGTCCCATATCAGAAGGCTCGTCTGACATGATACAGAGATTTTGCATTTTCTTTTGACAAGTATGCTTGAGTTTAGAGGAGAGAACCACACTCCAACTCCAAAGCTAGCTTTAATTTTTAATTGAACTGGGACTACATAAAGACTATTTGCATTAAGTATCTGTAAAGAACAGCAGAAACAAGCACTTAGGAAGACTTATGAAATTTTATATGTGATATACCAATAGACCAATTTACTCTTCTTTTTGAGACATCTTTTCCAGATGATTTGTCCTTTTTCTTCAGATGTCTTATTTGTCCAGTGTTCTTCAGATTCCTTAGCCTTCATTCTTCTGAAAGACAAAAACAAAAACCCTTCCCCAAGCCTAACTTTGGGGAGGTTCCCTTTTGGCAAGTTATATCTGATTAAATGAAAAGCATTTGTTAGTGGTATAAGTTAGTTTAAATTGAATGGTCATGCTGGTTAATGAACTATTACCTCTTCTAATTAAGAGGTCTCTCTTGTTCAAATTGAACCTGTATCAATTTTGATGGTATCCATAGCTTTTCTTCTCTTGTAGAAACAAAAGCAAAACCTCACCCCCAACATAATAAGCTTTTACATTTAAGTTAACCGATTTTTATTAATCTATGTATTGCCATGTGGTCCCTGGATTACCGATCCTCTGACATCTTGCTTCTTCAGTGGCTTCTTTTGTCTCTGTAGACTCCTCTCCTCTTTCTCTGAGTTCTTCATTTGATTGTTCTGCCTAACCTTACCCTGACTTGATGTAGGCCAAAACAGCTTTATTATCAATCAATGAGAGAAATACCTATTCACAGCTTACAGAAGGACCATCCCACAGCACTTACGTTTTACTTGCAAAA